AGCATGTTAAAGCCTCTTTTCGGAGTTGAAGCTGTGATCACACGTACGAACAGAGACACCGTATCCATGCGTATCCTGGTTTGGCTGATGAATGCTGTGGAGAAGTCTACTGCTTCGACGCTTAGGAAAAGCTGCCAAGACTTCCAAGTCCCACGTCCGCAAGAGGAGACAGCAACGGCTCGCCAAATCTTGCCAAGCGCATCCAAGCACCAAAGATACAAAACCACTCGAAAGTCCGCGACCATGATAGTGAACATGCCTCATACGCACTTTTGATGTTGTTCCATACCTAAACTAAACATACCCAAACAATAACGGTTTCTCAAAGTTGAAGGGGGTGCTGCGGCCAAGGAAGTTGGGACAAGCAGATCGTGAAGATCGCAGCCGTAGCCAAGACAGCCAAGACTCAGGCATCTCGGCCAGTGGCCAGCGGCCAGAAGCTGCCAATGAGTCGGGATGCCCCTTTGCATACAAGATTTGGATATAGCTGGTTGGGCAGCTTGACACGGGCTGGCAACGTCCTAGGGTCCTAGCGCCCTAGTGGCAAAACACCGGTTCAAACATGTTAAAACAATGGACTCAGGCTAACCTGTGGAGTCTGAGTCAGACCTACACTGTAGCTCTTTTTGTCAGTTCGGCTGCTTTAAGCTACTTGGCCGAGGGGAAGATGAGAAGCCAAAGGCATCGGATTCATCCTTGACAAACCTCAAACCTGCATCATGAGCCGAGTGATGCTTCATATTTCCGGTGTTCTTTTTTGTTATTGTGGGTCATTGTGGGTCTTTCTCACGGCGTTCCTTGCATTGCAATGACATGCAATGACATCAATTCTTGGAGGCTCAAGACGAGAAAGAAAGAGATAGAGGCTTTCCGTTTGCCAACTGTTGGTGGCAATTCGCAACAACGATTCGGTATGATTCGGTTATTTGTTTCGTGGTGATCAAAGATTCTATACTCATACTCTATTGACGTCGCTTTGGCCTTGTCGCTGACGCAGCGGGTTCGTTCTGGCAAGAATTGATAGACCTATATCAAAGCAGGACGATGTTCTTGCAGGAGAATGGGAGGCAAAGGCAAGATGTAAAATAATAACTCGCATTGCCCAATCTTGGAAGGTAAGACAAAAGACAAATCCAAAGCAAAAGCACCAGAGAAGCAGGAGAAGCCCGAGAAGGTGAAAGAGAGGCTTTCGGGAAAGATGCACAGTGCTTGAACTCTGTGACCTGTTTGGCAATTTCTGTTTACACTTTTGGCAGATTGGCGATGAATAAAGTCTGCTATAGAATGATCAGTTGAGCGCTTTCACAGCTCTAAAGCCTTGTAGGCCAGAGTTCCACAGATATTTCAAAGATCAAATCCGAATCTGATCAACTGCAAGTTGAAAGGCGTGCCAAGCAGGAGAAGTCTAGCTACAGCTCAGAGGCTGGGACGAAAACCCTGTTGAAGCACCGATATGTACCGATCTATTGAAGTTTATCATCTAATTCATATGAGCAGCGTTCAAAAATGCCTTAAACAAATTTATCAAGAAGTTAACCTATGGTGTCTCCGCGAAAGGAAAATAGCTGGGCGCGAAAGCTCGCGAAAGAGCTCCGCGAAAGAGCCTCAGAAGACATGCGCCGCGAAAGCGCCGCGAAAGTAAATCACAACAAAGATGTCCCCGCGAAAGCTAAAACTGTGGTCGCGAAAGCACCGCGAAAGCTGCGCGAAAGCAATTCTATAGGTTAACCAGTTGATCATGTGTTTTTGAACACTGCTCATATCAATTTATGTTAATGCAGTTTGATGCACATGAAGTTATTGTAGCATGTATTGCGTGTAATTTATTGCATGTAATACGTGACTTGACTGAAATCTGCTGAGGAGTCGAGCGGAGGTGCAGCCAAAAGGAGACAAAAGCGACGTGCAGATGCAGGGCTGAAGCCCGCCTCAGGCACGCAGAAAGCGCAGTGCGAGTGCGGCAGTAGCTTCGTAGCGTCAAGATTTCGACTTTGGAAACTTTAAACGTTAGACTTTGACAGAAGAAGGGGACATTTATCTCTTTGTTGAAGTCGTGAAACACCGTGAGAGCAGCGTTCAAACATGTTGTGTAGAGAGTAAAAGGTCGACTTGAACTAAGTTATGTCCGCAAAGACAAAAATAGTGTGTGGCGAAAGCCGTGCGAAAACTAAGTCGAAGGTACCGTCGCGAAGGCTTCCAAAAGTGGTTTGATAGGCAGATTTCTACATCCATCTGTCTATATCATCCTATATCCCGATCCATGTGGACATTTAGATGTCAGGCTCAATTGATAAATGCATCAGTTGTATATATGAGCGACGGCTCTTATTTGCGTATATGGAAAGTAGTATTCGGGCGTACCCCGGTTTGTCAAAAACATCATATTTAGCTTGTAAAACGAGGTAGGAACACCCCGAGAACGAGGTAGGCAAAAACGTTACGGGACTGGAGAACGAGGTAGGAACACCCCGTCAATTGCGTTATGTAACAAATATGGTTCGCAGCTCATATATATATAATAATTACAAAATAATATATATATATATAATATAATATAATATAATATAATATAATATAATATAATATATATAATATAATATAATATAATATATATATAATATAATATAATATAATATAATATAATACAATATAATATAATATAATACAATATAATACAATAAAATACAATATAATATAATATAAGACAATATAATATGATATAACATAATATAATATAATACAATATGATATAATCTAATCTACTCGAATCTAATCTAATATAATCTAATCTAATGTAATCTAATATAATATAATATAATATAATACATATTCATATAATATAATATAATATAGTATAGTATAATATAATATAATACAATATAATATAATATAATATAATAATATATAATACATATTCATATAATATGATATAATATAATATAATGTAATATAATATGATATGATATGATCTGATATAATATAATATATTATGATATAATATATTGTGATATAATATAATAAAATAAAATAAAATATAATATAATATAATATGATATGATAAGATATGATATGATATGATATGATAATATATATATATGTATAATAATATATATATATATATATAAAATATATAACCTGGGCGTCAGTGCTGAAGTTTATCTCCTACACGGACAATGTTGATGCTTCGGTTGGTTAAACATCGACATTCTTGATGTTTAACCCCTGTGAAGAAATCAACGGACATTGGAAGTGCAAAATCATCATACATATGTTCATCATTCCAATTTCCCAACGTGTTGGGGCTTTGGAACTGAATTTAAAACCTACATACAAGATCCTACAAGTATGGAATTTCCGGACGGAACACAAATCAAGGAACCCTATTTGCAAACATTTGCATTTTTACTGTCAGCTGCCAGAGTTTACGGGCAAAACATGGGACCTTAAACGGTTTTGGAAATTTGCCATTCCCAGAACATGTTAAAGATTGATATTTGCATTAATGCCCCAAGAAACTGGGAACTCAGTGTGACCACTGGAGGACCAGACAACCCCCAAAAAATTCTTAGGGTGAAATAGCGTGAACTACCCGTGAAGTTTTCGCGAAATGCAGTGTTTACCAGTGACATGTGATGTTTACCCGAGGAAAAGAGCCACGCGATGCCACCCAGTGGTAAACATCACATGTCACTGGATACCAACCGAATCCAAGTTCCTTGGGCCTTTGTTGAAACACCTCTCCCATGGTGTCTTTTGTTTCCGAGATTGAGTTTGGGGGGATCTAGGGCAAAACACCCGCTCTCATGCAAACACATAGGTACTATTGAGTGAAACAAAACAAAATCCTTTGGGAAAATCTGTGTCACATGTGATTCAAAGTGATATCGCATGAGTTTGACTAATAAAGCACGTCCAAGATAAAGATCTGGCAGCAGTACAAAAAATTGAGAAATTTGCTGCACCACATGTCTCAAGGGTAAACATCGACATTGATGAGTAAACATTGAAATTATACAAATGCGTAGGTAAACTTCGACATGAATGAAATGCGTAGGTACTCGTAGGTAAACATCAACATTGGACTTCCAGGGTATATATTATATAATTATATAATATAATATATATATATATTTATACGTATACACATATTATCTCATACATTTTGTGGCGGGGTCGCTCGCTTGATGCACCCATTTGAGCCGCAATTGTGGCGTCTCAGAAAGCGGCATGAAGGAGGAGCTGAACACCTTGATATGACACGTACTAATCATGTACTTCTATGTTTTCTGAGGTACATGTCCAAGTTTGCAAGCATATCCCCCAAGTTGTACATCATGTCATTTGAGTCTGCTTCTCACTACAAACCAGAGCAGCAAGCGGATGGAAAACTCTGCATGCTTACTATATGTGTTGCCATGTTCAACGTTTTGCCCCAAATACCGCGAAGGTTCCGCGAAAGTAATTTTTGCAAAAGGTCATTGCCCGAAAACCAAAACTGCGGTCGCGAAAACATGGAGAAAGACTTTGCGAGAGTGATACCCCTAGATTCATGATCATCATGATGATGATGATGATGATGACGATGATGACGACGACAAGGATGAGTATGGTGATGATCGGTTGGTAGTTGGCCGGCACAGGTTTTAGCCTTGCTCCGCCGCCAGCAGAGCCTTCCTTCGGACCGGCACCAAATCCACTTGCTGTGCTTTGGCATTGTAGACTCGTAGCGTAGAGCAACATTTTTCAACCTTCGGACTTCTGTGAAACACACTTACATATAGTTTCAATATTGCATGCCGTTTGAGCGTTTCTTTGTTGCCAATGTCCCAATATGTGCCAATGATGGGAAGATGACAAGGGAATATGACAGGTTCAAACACAGGAGCCGGCAAATCCTTCAGAGATTTTGCATCATGATTTTTTGCATCAAAAATGGTATCTGCCCAGACAGGTTTCCAGCTTTCTGCAATCAATGGACATCTAAAACCTGTCGGTGGACCATGCCATGCTTCACCCACTCCAAGGTGCTGCCATCAGTGCCCGCGCCGGTGCAGAGCCTCCTGGGTGCTGACGTGACTTCAGAGTTGGTTCGCATGCGCCAAGCAGTTGAGGTGGGATTCAAATGGATTCAAAGAGATCAAGCAAATGCGTTGACGTCGTTGACATGTTTCATCACATGTTTTATTTTATTTCATTTCTCACAGTGTTGAGAACTGTATGAAGACGATATCTTGAGATCCAAGCTGGAAGGCAGCCACTGGAAAGCCTGTGGAACCAAGGCGCGGGGCAGAAAGATGTGCCAAACCATCCAAAGATGCAAGCAGTTTACTGTAAACATGACAGACGGGGAGCCGGAAAAGTGAGATGAGAGATAATGAGAGATAATGAGAGATGATGAGAGCGTGTGCTCTTGCAGCTTTCTGCAGGTTGAGGCTTGATCAGCGAGAGGATCAGCAGTGCTTTTCCATTGCGAAACGCCGGTTTTGTAGAGCTTGTCAAAGGTTTGTCAAAGGTCAAAGAAACACCTAGGACACCTAGACAAGAGGCATTGACACGGTGCATTTGGAATGCGGAGTTCTCGAATGATCTCGAATGCATGCCACACTATGTTTAGTATTGTTTAGTTATCCCCAAAGGATGGCTAACAGCACGCACATCGCATCACACCGCCAAATTGCATCAAGTTGAGGAGGAGCAGGAAACCAAACTCAAGATGACTGAAGAGCTCAGAGAAGGCTTGCTGGAGAATGAGCCCAGAGCTTAGAGCAAAAAGTCCAACCGCATTCGACAAGAGAGCTTGTTACTGTGTCTTACTGTTTCTTGAATTTTGCGAAGGGTTGTTCCCAAACGCATTTTTGCTACACAGCGCTGTGTGCCGGCATAGAACAACAAATGCCTACAGACATTTTTTTACATATGCATACACTATATATTACTATATATCTACCCCGCAATTACTCGTACTTGTTTTTACATATCTTTGCTCCCATACTGGTGACTCAGGAAGCAACTGCTTGTGCGGACGGGGCTGCTGTCTGCGACACTGGCGGACGTGCCTGAGTCGAAATTTTGTTGAACAGGTGAAACTGTTGTGTTCATCGAGTAGTCTCGATATCCGAATTCTGTCGTACATTCATGTACTCAGGGGTTTTCAGCTTCATGCTTCAATGCTTCGGTTTCCCATCTCCAGATGAACTATCGACTGAGGATAGGAAAGGAATGAATCATGGAATATCATGGAATTATGGAATAGCACGGTAGATGGATTGTAGATGGATTGTAGATGAAATCAATCCGAATGGAATGGGATTTCCATGGATTTCCACTCATCTTCTGGCAGATGAAAACACTGTTGCCTTGGCAGGATGGCCAGGTGGTCCTTCGAGCACCTTCAAAGCAGGCCCTTAAGGACTGGCATCAAACCATCCGATGCATTCTTGATATTTCTTGATCACCAAATCATTTAGAATCATGAATCATTTAGAGGCATCTCATGACTCATCATGAAAAATACTGAAAAAGACTGAATCATGAATCATTTAGAGGCAACTGATCAAATCGGACAACAAGAATTGACGTTTCCGGATCACTTAGGGGCTACGGAGTCCAGAAAAGGGAGCTGCTTTCAACTCTATGATCGGAAAAATTAACATTGCTCAAGGCCCGTGATTGGAGGCAACGGGGTCGTTGATACCTTCATTATAAATACACTATAGAGCATATGCCATATGTAAATATGGTATATCTAATATATATATAATATAATGTAATATAATATAATGTAATATGATATAATATAATATAATATAGTATAATATAATATAATATATATATATAATATATATATAATATAATATAATATGATATAATATTATATAATATTATATATAATATATATATATAATATAATATAATATAATATAATATTATATTATATTATATTATATAATATATATAGTGCCGGACATACACTTAGAAGATAATTTGGAAAAATAAAACAAGATTGATGCCGCGAGCCGATCTCACACTTAGAAAATCACCAAATCTCACACTTAGAAATTCCAGTTTTGCATTGAATCACACCGTGCCCTGCAGAAGCCTCACACTTAGAACATCCTGTAGACATAGTCAATCATAGTCATATATTTTGTATTAAAAAACATATATTTTGATTGTTCTTCACAACTGGTTGAATGCCACTGGCATCATACCCTTGGGAAGCTTCACACTTAGAACATCACAAAACCTAACCATAGGAAAACTATGTGTAATTGGATTATATATACATATACACACACACATATATATATATATATCATAATGATACTTTTCCCAATCCTTTTTCATTCATCTTCCAAATCCTTTTCCTTTTCCCTTCCTTTCCTTTTCCTTTCCTCTTCCTTTCCTTTTCTTTTCCTCTTCCCAATCATTTTCCTTTTCCGTCCCTCGTCCTTGCCTCTTTTTGCAAAAGCATGGGTAGCGATAGGCCCCCTCCAGACACCCAAATTTCCGGAACCAAGCGAAGACATTAAGTTTTGACAAGGCCCCATATATGCTAGCATTCTGCTGTGGGAGCCCCACACTTAGAACATCCGATATTGAATTGTGCTTGAATATTGATTCAACTACGCTTTGGTAATGATGTGCATGGGGATTTCAAATGTGCTTCGAGTTAAGTTCACATCTCAAAAATTTCTGAATCAAATCAGTAGATTACCCGTTCCACATGGGATTCAAAAGTCGGCTGTCGGTGATTCAAAAATATACTCAAATATAAATATGCTAGCATTCTGCTGTGGAGACCCCACACTTAGAACATCCCATGTTGAACCGCGATTGAATATTGATTCAACTACGCTTTGGTGTTGATGTGCATGGGGATTTCAAATGTGCTTCGAGTTAAGTTCACATCTCAAAGATGTCTGAATTAAGTCCAAAGATTACCCGTTTCACATTGGATTAAAAATTTGGCGGGCAATTTTTATATATATATATATACATGTTCTAGCATTCTGCTGCGGAGACCCCACACTTAGAACATCCCGTCTTGAATTGCGCTTGAATATTGGTTCAACTACGCTTTTGTGTTGATGTACATGGGGATTTCAAATGTGCTTCGGGTTAAGTTCACATCTCAAAGATTTCTGAATCAAATCAGTAGAGTACCCGTTCCACATGGGATTCAAAATTCGGCTGTCGGTTGTTCAAAAATATACTCAAATATAAATATGCTAGCATTCTGCTGTGGAGACCCCACACTTAGAACATCCCATGTTGAACCGAGATTGAATATTG